AACAACAAAAACATTCTTTGAGATGTTACACTTGACTTTAGCCAAAAGGCATCGGAACTATTCTGTTTATTGCACAGAATAGCTTCTGGCTTTAAATTTCCAACCTGTGCTCTTCACTACATCCAGATTGGAAGCCTTAGGACAGTGGCATATCACATCACAACCTCAACCTATCACCTCGTTTTCAATAGAAGATGACTTTGTACAGTGAGCAGTAGAAATATTCTAGAATCTATTGGGCTAGTGCCATAACCTAACCATAAGGGGCAGCAACCATCAGTCATACAAAAGGGCCCTTTAAACTTATCCCAAATATATCCCAGTGCAACTTCCTTTAGCTTACTTCCAGAGATAAACAGTAGCCATTGGAACATGACCCATAACTTCCACTGTCCCTCCCAAAAGTTTGTGTGAAGAGGACAGCAGCTGTAAAGTTTGCAACTCAAACATTTCAGTTAAGTAGATTTGTAAAGGAATGCGTGTGATTGTGAAGATATACTACCAGGGTCCCTCCTGGAACCTTAAAACAAGATTCATATGAATAAGAGGGCTGGAAATTCAAGTTTTTCAGCTTTCCAGTATATCCAGTTTTGCCAGCATCTAATAATATTTGCAGGTACACTCAGACAATATCTGTCAAGAAGAGAGGGAGGGAGGGAGGAAGGAAGTACACAGGAAGGGAGGAAGGAAGGAAGGAAGGAAGGAAGGAAGGAAGTAAGGAAGGAAGGAAGGAAGTCCACGGTTGTGTTCATCAGAATGACCTCGGCCGCGAACACTCAGAATGAGATTCTGAGTTATTGCAACATAGGAGCGTTTCACTCCTTTCAAGGCTTCTTAGGAAAAATTCCAGAATCTTGCTGCTGGCAGGCCTCCGGGGTGTTCCGGGTGTTCCAGGAGGGAGGGAAGGGGGAGGGAAAGTAAGCAACAAGAAAGCAAGCAAGAAAAGCAAGCCAGGAAAAAGCAAAGAAGGAAGGAAGGAAAAGAAAGAGAAAAGAAAGAAAGAAAGAAAAATGAATGGTTCTCTGTTTTTTTTTCCTAGAAGATTACTAAATCAATGTGTTTTTGCCAGGCACTGGTGCCTCATCCTTGTTACTCAAGCTATTCAGATGGTTGAGATGTGAGAATTATGGTTCAGAGCCAGCCCAGGAGGAAAAATCCGTGACTCTTATCTCCAGTTAACCAGCAACAAGCCACTCAAGTGGTAGATCCCCAGACTTGAGTAAAAAAGCTAAGAGAACAGCACCCAGGCCCTGAGTTCAATCTCCAGTACTAGTACCACACACACACACACACACACACACACACAAACGCACACAAACACACGTGTGTGCATGTACACAGCACACACACCACACACACATACATGTTGTTCTAGTTAAATTAGACCCATTATTTATAAGCTACATTTATCATACTAAATTTATGCTAAATACCTGAGTGATTTGGGATCTCTTCTCAATGTGAAATATGTCAACAAGATATATGAATCATATGCACATACTCTTTTCCTTTACTTTCTATGGAATATTAACCATTTTTGTACAATTTTACCACACCATCTAGGGTACTTCTTAGAAAGTGTGAGTAGAATCCATATTTGGAATGTCTTATTACTGAAGTTATGGGATAACTTTCTCCTCTCTGTATGTTTGCCTTTTGGTGAAGGACACACATTACACAGTGACATTTATTTTGTTGTTTTGTGTCTCCTAGGGGAAGAGTTGTCTGAATTTTTTTATTATGATGTAGCAGCTATAAGCAGCTAAAAAAATCCCCAATTCCCCAATTTTCCTTGGTAGGAAAAATATAGATTTATTTGAATTCGAATATAACTGTCCAGTGTGAAGCAGAGGACATTCTAGGAGGGAGAATAGGTGGTCAGCCATGCAACCATACAGAGCAGTGTCTCTGATCATCAAAAGTACCCGGAAAATCAGATGGTCTCTTTCAAAACTCAGAGTATTCACTTAAGCACCATTGATAAACCAATCTTTGAAGGCTGTTAGAGAATGCCAAAATCAAATGTTTCTTGCCAATACTAAATTTTCCATTCAGTGGGGATGGTTGAGAGAAGATTAGAAGCTATGAGGCGTCTAATCGTATTGACAGCAGAGTTATGAACTTAACTGCTGAGCTCTTTCACATGCTTCATTTAAGACCATGGAACTCTGCATACCCCAGTGGAAACAGGTCACTGAGGGCTCCAACAACCTGAATGGAATACAAACAGTATTTCCAACATCCCTGTGATTACCTCTTACAAAATATGTGCTTCTAAAAGTTTTCCCATCAATTATATATCCTTATTGGAATCGACACATTGGTGAGTGTCCATCTTTTAAAAGGATGTGCTGGAGAAAGAAAATAGGCAGTCCTTTTTGAAAGATTTGTCTATGATTGGTTCTCACAACATGACACTTGGACATTCCTTGTTGCTGGCTATTGATTTCCATATTGCAGTAAAATCTTTTAAAGTCTGGCAGATGATTTGCTGTCTTACTGTTATTTACTACATTTGCTACAACTTGAAGAATAGGAGGATCAATCAATTTAAAGTGATTAACAGCATGAATGAAAATTATAGCCTGCCTGCTCCAAACCCTTCACAAAGTGCTCATCCATGTGGAGCAGAGCAAGGTGTGACTTATCAGGAGATTCTAGGCCTATTTTAGCATGATTAGGAAAAATAATAATAAGGCTCGTTGACTTCATTCAGCTGGTATAATGAACATTATTGATTAAAATGTTAGGACCCATAAAGATTTCAATTTGGAGTAAAGGAGACCTTGCAGAAGAGAAAAAGGTTATGGTGTGTTGAGTAGGCAGTCAATTAAGTGTTTTGTAGAAAATTAATTTTTTAACATGAGCTGTCTGTTGTACTGCTTGGCCTTCGTTGGTGTACACTGTTCAGCCACATGTGTGCACATGGAAAGTAATGAGCATTGTTATTCAAGTCATACTCAAAATAGCTGTGAACATGATGTATTACTAGAAACTTATCAAAGAATTTGTTATGGTAATGAACAAGCTATTCCTCAAGTTATTGAACAGCCAATGGAATTTAATGGGCTTCCCTTTAGAATAGAGTTTTGTGCAATAATATAGCTACATATTATTTTCCAGTTCTTTCTAGTATTACATCAGTGATGTTTTAAATTCCTTTCTCTTGATTTTCTTAATTCTTCAGTATCAAAGTCTACCAAATATATACCGAACATGAGTGTCACAGTGTTCTATAGGAAAAGAGGGAGTTAGTTTTTCTTTGGTATAGTAGCAACTGCATTGTAATTTGTTGTTTATTACTGTTGATGGGCAAATTGGACCAAACTTGAAAATACCTGGTGGCTCATGCCTGTAATCCTAGCTACTCAGAAGACTGAGATACAAGGATCGTAGCCAGACTTCGGCAGGAAAGTCTGTGAGACTCTTACCTCCAATTAACCACCAGGAAACTGGGAATGGAGCTGTGGCTCAAAGTGATAGAGCACTAGCCTTGAGCAGAAAAGCTCAGGGACAGGGCCTAGGCCCTGAGTTCAAGCCCAAGGACCAACAAAAATAAAATAAAAATAAATAAATAAATAGAAAATATCTTGGTAGGGTACCAAACTACATGGTGGTTTGTACAAAAATAGAGAAAAGAATAATCAAATGATTTAGTTTAATAAAATGAAATCAATACCTTAAAAATGAAGTAAAACAAAATCTGTACTACAAAGTTTAGGGGAAAATATCTAGTTAATCTGTTTTTATAAGGTATGTGTAAAATCACCCCTAAAAAAACTCCACATTGGATACCAAAAGTTGAACAATATAAACTAAAAACAGTTTTTAAGCGTTTCTTTGGAGAAAAATATGGAAAAACATGAAAGCAAGGAAGGGAAAGAACTGAGGCTCATACAAGTCTCTGGCTTCTGCTTACCAACCAGGTCATAAACTCCTTAGGGGACCACACTCAATGTAACTAATTGCAAGAACTTTTGAAATGTTTATAAATAGACTTTTCTACTGGGTCTAAGAAACATTTTTAAAGTCATCTCTGATGTTAGTGAACAGTAATTTCACTATTTATTTTTCATGCATGTGCATGACTATAAATCAATTAGCTATCAGTATCCAGAAATGAATAAATATTCTAAAGTATTTCACTCTAAGTTACATAACCTTCAATAAGGAATATTTAATAGAAATTTATTACAAATGTGGCTATTTAATTTTCTAGGATGAAGCTCTCTTTTTGCCCACATTTTTGTTAGCATTTAATTAGCTTATTATTTGCAAAATGTGGTAGAAATTCATTGTGGCATTTCCATACTTGCATATACCATACTTAGATCTTATTCATGCTCTTACTTTTTTTATCCCCTCCTCTATTACTTTTAGTCTTCATTGTGATTTTAATGAGCTTCATTCTGACCTTTTTAGTAAATGTATACAATGTACCTGATCATATTCTACTTCAATCACCTTCTCTTTCTCCATTCTTACCCCACCTCCCCTTGCTAGTTCACCATCTCCTCCAAATAGTCCTCTATATTCATTTCTAGGTTTTTCTTTTAAATCTAGCTTCTGCATATAAAAGAAAGTGTGACATTTGTCCAAGTCTGGCTGATTTTATTTAACACAATAACCTCTCTGGTTCCATCCATTTTTTTCTCCAAATGTCATAGTTTTTATTCTTTATGAATAAACAATATGTCAGTATGTGTGTATGTATATATGTGCATACGTACACACTATGTTTTCTTTATCCCCTTGTCTGTCAGTTTGTACGTATGTGCATATGCTCATTGTGTTTGTTTGACATTTAAATCTTTAATTGGAGACACCACTAACCTTCATCCCTAGCCTATTTGTTACCCAAGTATTATAGGCAGAAACATCTTTGGTACATGGTCTAGACACTGTATTTTTTACTGGATTTTGCTTTTGAAGTTAGTAGTCCATGTTGTCCTGAGAGTGTTCTGCACCTGGTGTTCTGACTTGCCCTTGACTTTGTGCAGGTGTACCCTGAGTGTGACTCTGGAGCAGGCCATCATCCTCGCCAGAAGCCACGGGCTGCCTCCTCGCTACATCATGCAGGCTACAGATGTGATGCGGAAGCAGGTGAGTCTCAGAGATTAGAGTTGCTGTTCTGCAGGACTTGGATGTGAAGGTCCCTTTGTTCATTTATCAGGCATCTGAATACAATAGAAACTTTTCTAAACACGTGATTTCCAGATACAACATGAATGAGAAACTCCCACTTAGAACATAGTGCTTGCACATAAAGGGTCTCCAAGAATTTTTGGAGAACGCTGGAAAAGGAGCAAAAGAAAGTGACCACATAAACAGGAGCTTATGTAAAGGATAAGAAAAAGAAAAGATGGGTTTCTGGGAATAGTAAGTGATTTGGTATGTCTGGAGAAATAGATTAGAATGTAGCAAAGAAGAGGAAATTGAGGGCTCTGCTTGCTTCTAGTCATCTCTTAGGGACTTATATGCCATGTTAAGAAGTGTGTGCCTCTTCCCTGATAGAGCATTGATCTTAGATTTTCTTCTTGAGGATAAATAGCAGCTTGTGGATTCTCTTAGGTCACTGGAGTACTTATAGGTAGGAATCTAATTTCTTGTAAATGGAATGAACTTTCGATAGTCTAACCCAGGAGCATTTTAAAAGAGTGGCACCTTAGGTTTTCACCTTTTAAACTCTTTGCAAAATACTAAAACTGTACTAAGTGCACCAATATTGAATTAGAAAATGGGATTAATCTAGTAGAAAAGTTGCCTAACCCAAGGAATGAAAACAAAAAGGAAACATAACAATTTTATGTTTTATTCTCTACCTTTTCTTGAAGCTATTGCAGCAAATCTGTTTATGGACTCAATTTGAGTTGCCTTAGGGACAGAGATCTGCTTTTGTAATTATGATTGCTTGATTTGTTAATGACTTAGTTTTAAACTCTCAGGCAAACTTATAAATTCCTTTAGGCTTGCTCCTAAGATTACAATATAGTATCAAGGAAATCAATGGAAAAATGGACTGGAGTGGGCAACACCAAGCCTGCATCTACAACGCACATTGGGTCCCATGATGGCACATACCCTGGTACTTCTGGTTAGGATCTAGGAGCTGAAGATCCACAGGCAAGATGTTAGAAGGTTGAAGATGCATTTGCTAAGTAAAGGTTATACCCACCAGAGCCTTGTGACATACTGCCCTCCAGAAGGCAAAGGACAAACACAAATGCAAATTACCAGAGATTTTGGGGAGTAAAATGCAAATTCTGCCTTAAAAATGAATCAAAGTGAACTTCTGATTATTCATATTAGAGTTTGGCTTGCTGAGTCATGCAGAAAATAATTATCATTTTATTTTACTCTGTTGCTCTGACAGTAAGAATATCAAAACTATGTCTGATGACACCAAAAAGAGACTAAAATCAGGCTTTCTTTAGAATATTCTAATAAGGAGATTAGAAATCGGCTACATTTCTACTCTCTGGACCTGAATAATCATAATTCAATAATTCAATTCTCTTTATTATCTGTGTGTGTGTGTGTGTGTGTGTGTGTGTGTGTGTGTGTGTGTGTGTGTGGTCGTACTATTTAGTACTGATGCTTGAGCTTAGGTCCTTATGTACTTGCTTAGCTTTTTTGATTCAAGGTCAGTGCTCTACCACTTGAATCACATCTCAACGTCTGCTTTTTGATGGCTAGATGGAGATAAGATACATTCTTCTGGACTTTTCTGCCCAAGCTGGCTTCAAACTATGATCCTCAGATCTCAGTCTCTTGAGTAGCTTGGATTATAGATGTGAGCCACCAGCTCACATCTTTAATCTTTAACTTCTTAAAACCAAAAATAGAGAAAGTGGAAATAAACTAAAATTGATATTACTGATTATTGATTAAATTGATTATCACCCGTGCAACTGCTAAAATGTTTTAAAATATTATATGCTATCAACGCATGATATATTATGTAACATGTAATTTAAAAGATTAAAAAGTCAAGCAGTTCTTTGTAAAATTCTCCGATTTCTAAACTTCATTTTTCTTAGTATTTATTTTCCCCTGTGTTTTTAAAAATAAGTGCATTTAAAATAGATAGCTTTCTTCTTTTGTTGTTAGCCCCATGCCTCCAAGTGTGCATCCCAAATGGCTGTAAGAGGGAAAGAACTGATTTGTCACTTCTGTGTGGAAGATCCCAGAGCCTGAGGCCTCTTCTGTGGGAAAGGGAGCAGGCGGTGCACAGCAGATACGCTTGCAGTGTTCCTTCTGTTCTCCATCTTCTTTCCAGTATTTAGTCCACAAGCCAGCTCCTGCCTGCTTGTTATCTAAGCCGTCAGAATGCAAGTCTGAATCACAGATCTAACTTGCATTTTCTGTATTTTTGCCTTCCAACCTCTGGAAAAATTATTTAACCATTTAGATTCAGCTTTTCAGAGATTGAATTGTGAGTGTCTACTTTACTGTATATTGATATATTTGAACTCTTTCATTACCGAACTTTAATTATTATGTATTAAGGTATAATAATTTACTACAAACATGTATATATATATATATATATGTAAACACATGTGTATGTTTTACAATGTATAATGAATAAAATAAGATTCGTAGTTTCTTTCTTTTTCTTTTAGCTGGTCATGGGGCCTTGAACTCTGGGCTTGGGTGCTGGCCATCAGCTCTTCAGCTCAAGGCTAGCGCTCTACCACTTGAGTCACAGCACCACTTCTGGCTTTTTCTGCTTATGTGGTTCTGAGGAATCAAACCCAGGGACTCATGCATGCAAGTCAAGCACTCTACCACTGAGCCACTTTCCCAGCCCTGATTCTTAGTTTCTTTTTAAAATAAGGAGCTTTTATCATGATTCATTGTTCTTATTTACAACTTCAGTATTGTTTTCACAAACATCTTTCATTGAGGTGTTATTTTAGACTTCCCCACTTGAGTTTGAAGAAAAGATAGGAAAGAAAGTTATAATGCTTTCTGAAAATCATAGATATCCTTTGACATACTCATCCGATTAATTAATAATTATTTGTATAATGAACTTAAAAGTTATCCATGAAAGCAATAGGTTTAGAAAGCAGCCAAGCACCAGTGGCTCATGCTTATAATCCTAGATACTCAGGAGGCTGAGAACTGAGGATCCTGGCGGGAAAAGGCTCAGGCAGGAAAGACTGTGAGACTCTTAGTTCTAAGAACTACTCCTCCTCTCCAACAAAGGCCAGAAATGGAACTGTGGTTCAAGTGAGTACTAGCCTTGGTCAAAATAAGCTCAGAAACAGTGCCCAGTCCAAACCCCAAGACTGTCACAAGAGAAAATAAAATAAAGAAAACAAAAACATAAATACTTAGTAAAATATTATGAAAGTAAAGACAAAATTATAGATGAACAGTATACTCTAATGTATCTATTTTTCTCATGAGTATAGATAAGAAATTCTAAAATCAATTTGTTTTGAACCACCAAGTAAACATATGACAAATATGAGAATCTGGATTGTCACCAACAGACAAAGGAATTGCAAATAAGATCAATGAGAGACTGGAATCTCTAAGGAGCTATGTGGCACTTTGACAATATCAGCAGAACTGATACACACACACACACACACACACACACACACGGATAGATGTAGAAATGAATATAGATGTGTGAACATGTTTGTACCAGTAGACTAGCTCTGTCTACTATGCAAAGCCCAGTTCCTTGCCAGTAGTAATAATTATGTCCAGAATACAAAATTTGGCTCCTAAATAGAATTCTCCAACAACAAATTCTAGGCCCTTAGAGATGTGGTGAATTTTCAACTGAAATAAGAATGATAATCCTGGGAATTCTTGACATGCCAGAAAGCAAGCAATAAACCATTGTAAGGACATGGCATAAAGGACATAAAGCCAATTATGAACACCTATTTAAAAAGTCTGTGTGCATTGTTAGCCAGAGCAATAAGGCAAGAGAAAAAAATGAGAAAGGAAGAGGTCAAATTATTCCTGTGAGTAAAGGATATGCTGTCATAATTGTTGCTGCTCTGTCTATCAAAAACAAGCATGGTGAGAGAACAAAAAGACAGTCCCTTCCACAATAGCTTCAGAAAATTCAAATACCTAGCATTATATCTAACAAGGGGAAACAAAAGCCTCTACAGTGAAAACTATCACATCTAGACAGCAAATAAAGATATAGGACTAGGCTGAGAAATAGTTGGGAAGAGGAGGGGAGAGGAGTTGAGGCAAGTAATGAGAGGCATTAAATGTGATCAAAGCAAATTAATATATACAAATAAAATGGTATTGATGAAGTCCACTGGATCTTTTAAATTAATACTGTCTTTTACTATACACTTTGAGATGTAAGTCTTTGGAGTTCCATGTGGATATGCTTATCCAGAAAGTGCTTTTTTTAAAAAAAAAATTGTGGTAGAGTGCTAACCTTTAGCACAAAGAGGTTCAGAGATAGCACTCAGGCCCTGAATTCAAGCCCCACAGCCAACAAAAAAATTAAAATTAATATATATATATGTATATAGGTATATGTGTATATACACTCACACACACAGTTTGCACTGACTTCAGGATGTCTGTAGGTTTCAAGGTAGCATGATATTTCTGTATAAATAATACTAGTCCATGGAGTATTGGGTCTTTATCTGGATCTTCAAGACCCAGCTCCACTTGTTGAATAGAACCCATAACCTTTCAGAACATCAGCCCTCTCTCCATACTTTTGGAGAAAAAAAAGGCAAAGAACAGAGCCTTTGTCCCCATTGTTCCACGAGATCTTCCTCAAATAGTTCAAATGGGTCAAATGCATGAAAGAAGGAAAGAGCCCATTCATTAGTGAGATTGGGCATCCTATCTCATTTGTATTCTTGCCAAATTGCTGTGTAGGGAAGATGTACAAATGCATAGTGTTAGAGATTGTTTTGGAAAGCCTTTGATGGAGAGTGTGAAATAGGTGAAAGCAATCACCTAAATCTCACGTGTCCACATTAGAAAGAGGGACAGCAACAGGACACAGCATAATACCCTTCCATTCCTCTTCACAATTATGCTCTCACTCCACTGGTCGCCTTTCCTTTTCCACCGAGCAGAGCTCCTTCTAGCCAGGGCCATGTCTTCTAGCCAGGACTGTGCTTTCTGACCTTCTTGTGGTTGTCAGGTCTCATCTTCTCCTGCTCTCTTCAAAGATGGTCTTCTAGAGACACTCTTTCTAGAGTGCTCCACCATCTCACTTTTGCTCACCTGAAACTAGTTCTTTGCATTACAAAAGTGGCCAAGGTTTTCTTGCTTTCATGGCTTTTTATTGTTCATTTCAAGTTCTGACCAGCACTAGAATATGGGTCAGACAAAGAAGAAGTTATCTGCCAAAATTGACACTCTAACATGGCACAGTGTTTGCCATGGATTCAATGAACAATCAACAAATAATGTTGTAACCCCTTCAGGAACCTGTATGATTTTCTTCTTTGTATCAGATTAGTTCTCCAGAAATTGCTTTAGAACCATTTAAGAAAATATTTTCCTAAATACTTAGTTAAATAGTGCTAATTCCAAAATTGGTAATGATTCATGTCTGAGGAAGCAGGTGGAAGAATGATGGACTTGTAAGTTCTGTTCCACAAAAGTAGCAGTGTAGAACAGGTGTTTACAGCCTACTTGTCTCCTGTTCCCAGTACCATAAGTGAATGTTTCTAAGAATTTGAATATGGAGGAGAGACGGAAGAGCTGGCTGTTAAACTCTGGATTATTTAGGGAGTTGAGAAACACATAGTATTCATCTGAAACACAAGAACCTTTTTGATTCTTAAAAGTGTTTATTGGAAACTATTCAGGTGGTTATTTCTCCTACTTTTCACTCTCTGTCTCTGCCTCTCTGTCTCTCTTACTTACTAAATTACTGGAATAACTTTTCTACACTAAGACTATAACGGTATGCTACATAACTATTAATACAGTGAAAGGTTAAAAGTGATTTTCCTGACTTTCAGGGAGCAAGAGTTCAGAACACAGCAAAGAATTTGGGAGTCAGAGACCGGACCCCTCAGTCAGCACCCAGGTAAGTGTACCCCCATAGCAACACTGATGACAAATGCCCAGTGCCTATGATTGTGGGGATTGCCTTTGTAACTGCCCATTGGCTAATAAAATTAAGCTTAAGTGTCTCAGAACTAAATGGACATTACTCCATGAATTCAAAAAAGAAGTCTAAAAAATAGAACTAAAACTTTAAATCGACCTGTGCCACTGGCCAGGATGCCATGTTTCTTTTTCCTCCTGTGACTGCACAAGCCCTTCTCTTCATTGATTGCTTTTCTCATTTGCATATCAATGGAAAACTCCTTCTTATCTTACAAAACCCAGCTTAGATACCATTTTCTATTTGGATCCTTTCCTGAGTGCCTTTCTTTTTGGGCTCCTTTAGCATCTCCTATATTGTTTTATGAATACGTTCACATTGTGTAACGGGATATTGGTATGTGTTTCATTACCCAACCTGAGTATAACTTCTAAGAATAAGAAATGCTTTGGGAATTTTATTTTTCCTCATCCTAGTGTCTTATAGTAAAAAATCAAATATCCAAAGTAATTCCAATAACATATGAATAAATTAGTTCATGGGTTTTTATTTGTTATGTCAAACAATCACAGTTACATATTGTCCTATGAAAGTATTCCAATCCACCTTTAAAATAATTGAACAGACTTAGAAGCTCCAGAGAAATGTCTTGTGTTTGATTTCCCTGGTGATTGGGGGTAGGCAGACATTTATTTTGAAGTAGGACCAAAGCTCAGTAATTTCTCTTGCATTGGATTGCTTTTATCCATTTGCATTTTAACAAAAAGTAGGCTCCTCCAAGCACTACCATAGAAAACACTATATTTGTTTCTATTTACAACACCATTATCAGGATGAGAGTGATGACACCAACGTTATAAAGTTATACTTCATTCTGAAAACCTATGTGGGCAGTGAATGTGCTTTTCAAAAGGAAAACCTATTTCCTCTCCCTAAAAATGGATGGAGCACTCATGACCTGTCTACATTCATCATTAATTCTGACTCCTAACTCTATTTAGTTTTCTGGTCTTGTTAATGTGATCTTTCATAGCTTATTAGATTAGAATCTAAGACATATTACTGAAGAATCATTTCACATAAGCATTGTCTCCCCAGCGCCTTGAACAGATGTGGTATATTTATATAATAGACAGTGAGGTGTTAAAAATTCCAATAAGAAAACAAGATAATGATGCTGCAAGGTGTTTTAAGCTAGAGCTTATTCACACTAATAAACAAGTGGGGTTAGAATGAGTTTTCAGCATCCTGATCAATAAACCAATATGCAAGCTGAAACCCAGGAAAGAAACTGGTGAGCCCACTTCTTTTTTTTACTGGGTGATATATGACACTTGAGATGTGACACAATAAAATGAGCCAGCTATCAAATTGACACTTTTTACAAGGGAATAATAACCCTGAGAGAGAAATCAAGAGTAATTTCAAATCTGCATTTTATTTACTCGTTCAGTCATTCTGAAAAGGTCTATTAGGGACCTAAGAAAGGCAGTCCATCAAATATAGGGGTTACACCATGGGGGAGAAACATACAAAGCAACAAAAAAAATCACATGCTACCTTATAAATATGTTAGAAACAATAGCAAGAAAGAAAAAGAAAAAACACTTGTGTCCCTATCTTGGGGTTCATTTCACTTAACTTCATCTTACATGGTCATATGTACATAGCTTTTGAACTTTTCTACTTGTCCCAGACATATACTAGTTATTGCAAATAAGGGAGACCCTGGGACCTTTGTTTCTTTTAGCCTGGCTTACTTCACTTAATATAATTTTTTCCAAGTCTTTCCATTTCCTAGCAAATGGGGCAATGTTATTCTTTCTGATGGAGGCATAGAATTCTATTTTTGTGTGTGTGTATATATCACATATTCTTGATCCATTCATCTACTGAGGGGCATCTGGGTTGGTTCCATATCTTAGCTATGGTAAATAATGCTGCAGTAAACATAGTTGTGCTGGTATCTTTAGTATGGTCTTGTTTGTGATCGTCTGGATAAATGCCCCAAAGTGGGATTGCTGGGTCATAGAGGAGCTCTATGTGGAGTCTTTTGAGGAACCTCCATACTGCTTTTCAAAGTGGTTGAACAAGTTTACACTCCCACCAACAATGCAGTAGGGTTCCCTTGTAGCCACATCCCCTCCAGCATGTTGTTATTAAGAGTTCTTGATTATAGCCATTCTAACTGGGGTGAGGTGGACTCTCAATGTTGTTTTGATTTGTATTTCTTTTATGGCTAGAGAGATTGAGCATTTCTTCATGTGTCTATTGACCATTCTTATTTCCTCTTCGGAGAAGTTTCTCTTTGGCCGACTTATTTATTGGGCATTTGTTTCTTTGAGGATTTGTTTTTGGGGGATTTAGTTTTTTGAGTTCTAAGTGTATTTTAGATATGAGACCCTTATCCATTGTATGGCTAGTGAAGATTTTTCTCCCAATCTGTGGGCTTTCTATTGATCTTGCTAGCTATATCCATTGCTATGCAGAAGCTCTGTAGCTTCATGCAGTCCCATTTGTCCAACCTTCCTTTGATTTGTTGTGGGAGGGGAAAGGAGGAAACAAAATGTTTAAATAGGGATACAGGTTGAGCCATTGTAACAATGAGATATACAAGACACTGTTGATAAACAAACTTTATAATTTAGGTGGGGGGGGCGTAGTTGAGGAGGTGGGAGGGAAGGGATGGTAGGGGAAAAGCAAAGGAGGAGGCAACAATGTTTGATAAGAACTGTACTCATTTTCTTGCTCATGTAACTGTAACCCCTCTGTACAATACTTTCACAATAAAAAATGTATTTAAAAAAGGCAATCCATCCTTTGCCCCCCTGGAGAATATAAACCTGAAACAGAATGGATCTGGCCCTCCAGGAGCTTTCCATTAGAAATAAATGCAGTAAACTCTACTGTAAGGAAAAGTATGCATGGCAGTCTATGGAAGAGCAGGTAAAATACCTAGGAGCACAGAGGAGCCTTGGATCCCTGCTGACTGGGGTCTCTCCTGCCCTAAACACAGCAAGTTAGAAAACATAATTGATGCTCAATGTCAGGTCACTCAGACTAAACCTACTGAAATGTTTGTATTGTTGTATAGCAACAATCAAATAAAACCAGTTATTTTCAGATGAAGAGTATCTGACAAACTACAACAGAAATGAGCATAAATTGTCATATAAACATAGAAATAGGTCATCACACAACCCAAGGATGAAGACAGAAGCACACAGAATGCTCATGGCCCAGCCAGCTTGGAGTGGCAACCCAACCAGCTTGGAGTGATACACTGACACCACGCCCCAGAGTACCATCATGGTCCGGAGAACTACACCTGTGTCTCTGTAATTGCTATCTGAATGTGATTGAGAATCATGCAAAGAAGTAAGGCTGGAGATATAGAAGACCAAATGTTCCATCCCAAATGGAAGATTACCAGTTGTAATGCATTTCTCTATTATGTCACAAAATCTGAACTTGCAATTCTACAAAAGCTTGATTTTCCTTGTGGTCCAAAGTGAAAAGAATCATTCTGGGTCTTGGCTCCTGCTCTCTTCCTGACCTTATTGTATTAGATATTGTTTTCTTCTGAGATGAAATCTTCTTATCTGTTACTTAGGGAGAATGGCCTTGAGATGGGGCATAACTGATAGTGTAACCTTGAAAGAGGCATTTGCTTTCTGGGTCTCCTTTAAAACAACCTGTCTTTGGGCAGTGCAAAAAGGAAAGGCATGATCTGTAGAATGATGTATGACAGTTCTGCTCTCTGAAGATTTGAATATGGGCTGAAATACCAACCCCATCATGGCTGCGAGAGCCCAGATTAGAACAGCAGAGAATGGAGCAACTCCTGTTCATGCAGGGCCACTGATGTGGAATGAGAATACAGCCAGGACTACAAATGTTGGGCCCACAAAGGCCTCCCACTGCCCAATGGTTTAGCTGCCAAAACACAAAAGGCCTCACTGCAGCGTTAAGAGTCCAACTCTCTATTACATTTCACTCTCAAACTTCTTCTGCCTGCTCCAAATTCCCAAAGCTCCACGATTTCCATTACAAATGTGTCTGAACTCAAATAACCCTGAGTTACTTCCAAGATGCCTCAGAAGTTCAATCTGCCCAGCTCCCCAGTACCCAGAGCTATTATTTCATTAGGTGATCACAGGGAGTAGCCTTTGCTCCAATTTGCAAGGCCGACATTTCAAAGACTCTGTCTACCCTGTGACATTGGTTCCTTTTTGTGCAAATGTGCGGAGCAAGATAATGGAAAGTGATGGTTCACCCCAAAGTGGGATATGTGCCACCCATCTTCCTTCCCTGCTCTCCCTTACTCAAGCCTTGTGCTTTAGCACTCATGATGAAACACTGTCAGGGGAATAAGAGGATAGAAATTAAGGGGGGAAAAGAATGTTCTCATCGTTTTATTATTTCAGTGCTGGGAAGACAATGGAATCAGCTTTTTGGATATGGTATGTCTTCAGTAGTCTCCTCTTCTGTGGAGATAACATACCCAGGCATAAGCCACTATCTTCCCAATTCAAAAGTACATTTCATAACTCTCCAAAGATAATTACTAATGCGTTTCTAAACTAAGAAACTTCATTTTATTAATGAGATTTACAACTCAGTGTTAAATCTTTCTCATTCTTCTCCATTGATTCAGAATTAGCCAGGGATTAAATGTCAAAGGGAGAGCAAAATCTGTAATTGCTAAATTGATTAACAACTCAGTCAAGCTGTGTTCAATTTGATCTGTAAAAAGAGAGTCAATCACTCAATCTCAGCTCTGTGTTTGAACTGCTCAGGCCTTTATCTTCTTCTTCTTTAAAGCTGAACAGCTGGGACTGGAAATGGACATTATTAGCTCGGTGGTAGACAACGCACATAGCAAGTATGAAGCCCTGATTCAATCATTAGAAAGTCCCTACCTCCCCTCACCCCTGCAAAAAAATGTATAGGGTTGAATTCTGCATGAGATATTAGCATATGGTCTTCAGTGAAAGTTCATGATTAAGGAGAGTAAATACAGTCTAGATCTACTACAAGTAATGCATTTGGCCTGAGGTCCCTAGGGTTATGTGACAGCTAGCATGTTCCCTTTTACTTTGCTTCTGGAGTTAGGACTGAACCATTCAGGAGACTAGAGCACTGGAACTTGTGTAACCCTAGTGGATTCCCTTGAGCTTGTATTAATGCTGTATGTCCTCACACAACTAGACCAGGGCTTCAAAGGGAGCATCTCTGGACATCTCCACAACTAAAGTGGATTCTGACCCACCAAGAGGTTTTGTTGACAGATAAGTGCTTGATAGAGCCAGGCCAAGAATCATCAGTGCTCCTTGACACCAGGCCTCAGGAAATCTGTCACTTCCTCCCATTCATATCCTACTTCCTGCATGACGGTGATGGTACAGACTAAACTCCACTTCTAAAATGCATGAGAAATCCAGTAGCCTCCTCTGAGATAAATGTGATTTCACTAGAAGCTGATCACAATCAGTATGATGGTAATTTTCATCATAGCATCTTCTCTTGGGATTCAGAGAATAAATTTTACTGCTAGGAAAGTAAACACATGGGTGGACATTGCTGGACCAGAACAGCAGATTTTAACAATGCAGTCTTGCTTAGTAGCTTTCTAGGCATGCTGAGAAACACAGGTGTTTGTTAGATCATATAATCAAACCTGAGTGACACACTGGGTGACTGACTGTCAGACTTTGCTGTGTCTTTTCTAGGTTGTACAAGCTGTGTGAGCCACCTCCTCCTGTGGGGGATGAATGAAGACCCTTCACAAGGAGACAACAGTCAGAAGCTACACAATGCACATGTCTCAACATTCTCCACTGAAAATAAAGAGATGCCTTCGTTCAGTTCCCTCCCCATGGTGGAAAAATTAACATTCAGATTGTACTTGGATACTTATGCTGAAATAGATAAGAGTTCATGCAGACAGTCAGTCTTATCAAAGAAATTCTTTTTTTCAGGTCAAAATTCACTGGTGGAATTCATGGGGGAAATATTAGAGGTAAAAAAAAAAATAGTAGCAATTGTACCTGCTTTCTCATTCGTTATAGTGTTTGCTTTCCACTGCTCCTCATGGACAGAGCTAATGGTGATAGATTTTTCCTGAAGAAGTCTGTCATGGAGAAAACATAGTTGCGTTCTGTGTGCCCTGAAAACAGGTTAGCACCCATGTAGCCTTGGTGGCATGGGTGCTTTGTTCCTCGTCTGTGTCAGAGAAGGCATCTGTCAAAGGTGGAGAAGCGTGTGTTGCTTTCCCCCAAAGGATTCTCAGTCGGGAAGAGCTGTTGAGTTCTCAGAATGACATCTTCCAATGCTTTTGGGTATATTTCAAGTACTAGATCCTGTGTTATCAGTGGCCACGAATAAGGAGTAGTGAGGACCAAGGAAGAGAAACACAAGCCTAATGTAAAAACCCAGCCTTGAACATAGAACTATCCTTTCTTCCTTAAGTATAATCTGTCTTCATGTGTTGAGCATTACGAGTGAATTATTATTGGTCTTAAATACATGGCTTTCAAAATAATTAAACATTCTTACAGTGAATATAATGAGTCATGCATTGTTTAACATTTGGGACAAGTGCTGAGAATAATGCCAGCAGGTGGCTTACTTTACCCCTATGCCAGCATCATAGGGGAGCATACACAAGCTGAGGTGGTGACCTCAGTAGGTGATAGAATCTTAAAACACCATGTTCGTGTATGTTGATCATCATTGACCAGAACACCAGTATATAGCACATGCCTGTATATAGATTTCAATTAAGTATGTGAGATGCTTTCACAACTAAAGTTCAAGAAAACTACCATTACATTTTGTCTTAATAAAATCTAATAATGGCCCTCAGGCTGTTATTAAGAATCTTCTTCACTAGACAGTGTACATGGAGTAACAAAAATACTGTTATGAATATTTGGGATATCGACATGTCTCTGTATCCAGATGGCTATCTGTTGACTAGCAGCAATCATTACTTGACACAAATTTTTGCAGGAAGTCCATATAGATAATGACCAGCAAACTGACATCAGGTTCCAACGAAAAAGCTGAACACCATGAATTAAATGAAGATAGGACCTTTATGTGCCTATGTATATTAAGTCTATCTTTAACTTTCAGGGATTTAACAATTAGATATTGTTGGCACGTGAAGGTTCCTATACAGTTTTGAAGGTTCATGTGAATCTGTGGCTTTCCTACGCTGAACATGTGATCACTTTGAATTCATGGTGAATGAATGAACAGAGCTGACTAGCTTACTAGAACTTTTCTTCCTGTCATCATAGCTTTTGGTAACCACCCTAGTAATAATCCTCATCAGAGTCATGAAAAGGCCATCTAAATGATTCAGTTGTACTTTTCCATGTCTCATGGGATCCATTATCTGTTATCGTATTGATAAGCTCATGAACTTTAAGGATCTACTCTGTATTCAGTGGAATACACTCAATATTGTTTTTAGGGTTAAAAATAGGCATTATCTTGCTCATGTAACTGTAACCCCTCTGTACAGTATCTTTACAATAAAATATATATTAAAAATAGGCATACTCTACCAGTGTGCATGGCACTTATTAAATGCTTGAGTAGTTTATACCAACAACAGTCTATGTAATTTTTCTTGTACTAAAATTACAACTAACACTGATGTTTACTCTGTACCAAATAATTATTCTTCTTAGCCCATATTTACTTGTTACTGTTTCACAGAATCTTCACAATAGGGCTGAGGGATGGTATGTTTTTATTGCCCTGTTTAAGAGTTGGGAAACTGAAGTGCACAAGTTCATATTACTAACAAGAAAGTCTCTTACTATGCTATGCTGTTTTCCCTTATTGGTGTAATAATAATACAAATTATGTATTGCTCTAGCTAGAGTTATATAGTATGCATTGCCATTTAATTCTGTATCTTCTATTGCACAAAGTGAATGCAAATATGAATGCATATTAATGCCCTTAATATATGAAAATGTGCAGTTTCCCAGGTATTTTCTCATTCTGGATGCACATTTGCAATATGAATTTTGTATAGTGTAACCCCCTAATTGAAAGTAATAGTTTTAGACATTTATTACAAGTGTGGAATAGTAATCATATGAACCTTGACTATAACGTTGAAGGAAAGGTAACAGAAAAAATATGTAGTGGAGGAGTGACTAATAACTGCTTTTCTTTACCATAAAGTACCTCCATATAGTATTGGACATTTAACTGTCTGGCGGTTATAGAATCTATTTACCTACAAGCTTTACAGTCCTCCCTAACCAGAGCTCCTTCAAATGATGCTGACGCCTGCTATCTATCTTTCTAATGCCTACATTTGGATTTCTGACCCTTTCTGAAATAGATTACTATGCATTGAAGTTTTATATCTTACCGGAGAACCTGGCTCAAAAAATAATAATCACTTACAAAGTCCATACACGGCAAATATTCCATTGTCTTTTTTTTTTTTTTTTGGGTCCGGTCGTGGGACCTGAACGCTGGGCCTGAGCGCTGTCTCTCAGCTCTTCAGCTCAAGGCTAGTGCTCTACCACTTGAGCCACAGCGCCACTTCCGGCTTTTTTTCTTTTTGCTTATGTGGTGCTGAGGAATCGAACCCAGGGCCTCAGGCATGCAAGGCAAGCGCTCTACCACTGAGCCACCTTCCCAGCCCTCCATTGTCTTTTGTGTCTTTTTCTAATATCAAATTACATAACTTCTAATGTTAAATTATGCAATTTAATATAAGTACAAGAAATGTGATTAAACTAGCAGCTTATATCTATTCCCACTATGATTTAGATGAAAAGAATGTCTGTCATAATTTTACTTCTAGTGGATATGTAACACTGAATTTAAAGTTCACACTTTGTTTTATAAGTCAGCATCCCCAAATGAAGAGCTGGGCTGTTTCCTATCTCTTTAAGGTGTACACTGGCAGGGGTCTGGATTCTCTCTGTATTCATTGGCTGTTTCCTGCAGTAACAAAACCCAATTTAAAATGAAGCTAATGTCCTAGAGTATCATAATATAGATGACATGGAGATGACATTGGTTCTGACTGCATTAATTTCAATTTTGTAATAATTAAATTCAGGATAAAATGAAATTGACCCTAACTGTAACTGCCAAGAAAATCAATGGGTAAGCAAAGTCTTAAAGGATATATTAACTAATTTAAACAATTTATATTCAGTCTTATGAGCATATACCTTTCATAGGCAAGATTAGTATTTATTGATTTGAAAGCATTTAATTAGGAGTAAATTACTCCTTGTATTTACAATGAATGCATTCCTACTTAAAACATTAAAATATTCTTTCATTAGTTTGGGTAGTTCTTTTCTATAGCACATGATTTAATGCAGGTTAGTAGCATTTTTATTCACTTTTTAAAAAATAAAATTATGATTTTGAAAGTTAAAATAGTCTTTCTTTAAATCATTTGTATTTTATATTTTACTTTAAAGGTCATTTTCTGTCTTTCTACTGTAGTGGTAATGAAAGTAACTATTATTATTTAACTGAATTGCTTCTGAATTCTGTGTTATCTTTTAAAGATTTATTTGTATGTAAACTATTTTCTAAATTATACTTTAATAACTCCTCCATAGACTAATAATTAACATAAATGCATTAACAATTTGTTAAATGAATTGCCAAATGTGCTGTATGAGAACTAAGGAAAAGGATATTGAAATCACTTAGGGTACTCTTTTAATTAAGAAATATTTTCCATCCTGTTAAGTGTTTTGAGCATTTGTGATGAGCCTTGACAGAACAGGTGGGAAAACCTGCGGAAAAATGGCCACAGCATTTTCATCTTACAGACGCTGGCCACCATCTTTGACCAAATCACATTTCTGTCAGTCACTTGGCTTACTCTTTTGCGACAAATGGCAAATTCACCACCTCAATGATTTGCCATGAACGGTGATCCTAGCATTCATACTGCCAAGTACCTATTGGAGTGCATAGGAGACTTAAATATTCTCTATGAACCGTCTAGCAGCTGTGAGCTAAACACATGGCCTACTTTACTCAGGAGAGTTTGCTTCCTTCACTGGAAATAGATTTCTGTTGTCTACTAAGCCTACTAAATGAGAATTATCTATTTGTATGCATATGCCTCTATATACTATATGTATTTACTGCATTTTATTTTGACATGCTACAAAAGTAGATTCTTGTGTCTTGTTTTGAATGATGATATAAGAAATGGAGTTGATCAATGTACTGAACATCTGTACTGTATACATCAGGGCTGTCTATGTAGCAAATGTATCTGGCCAAGTATCTGCTTCTACTTTACTCTTTGAATTAGCTTTCCATTACTATAATAAAATAACTGAGCTAATCACCTTATAAAGATAAAAAGGTTGCTTTGGTTAAGAATTAGAGTTTCCATTCCATGATGAACTGGGTCTGCGATGTGATGAGGCAGCAAATCAAGTCAGAAATATATAGCAGAGCAAGATCAATCACCTCATCAGATAAAAGTGCAGAAGGGACATATTTTCCACAAGTTCCTTCAAGGGCAGGCCCCCACTGACATAATAACCTCCCACTAGGCCCCACCTCCCAAAGTTTTCACTACATCTCAATAGCATCACCCTGGGACCAAGCTTTTAACACATGGAATTGAGGGAAATAGTGAAAGTCTGAATCATAGCACTGTTGTATGTAATCTGAAACCAATTGACCAGCCTTGCCATTGAGAAATAGCTGCTTAACAACAAATATGTTCAAGTTTAAGTTATATTTGTACTAGGAATAAAAACTAGAAGATACTTTATTTTAATGACAAGAATAAACATCATGACCAATGAATCTAGTATGTGTATTAGACATTTTTGGTTCTTAAAAAAAAAAACCACATTGCCTCTGTGTTACTGATCAGTTGTGTACCCTTAAAATGAAATTATTTATAACACAAACCTATCATAATGTCATATTTGTATGATATACTGTATGTAGCCAAGAACACTAAGTTGGTGAAATGCTTCAGAAAACATATATTTGAGTTGGAATATCTAATGCCTCAAGCAAATTTATTAGTGTTTCAGATAAATATATATTTTTATAACTGCCACATAAATGAGTAAAACATAGCTTTTTGCCTAAAATATTTTTATAAGCTCTCATTTACACAGTACTCATTTTAAATAGTAAAATATCAATGGTTCTATAAATAGTAATTGTTTTGAATATATCCATACTTAACATTGGATAATATCCAAAAATTAACGATAAGTTTCATCAGAATGTATTATGGTGTTTTTGTCCTTTGTAAAATATTCATGTAACATAGTTTCAGTCATTTCAGACTTTGTGTATTGTTCAAGTTAGCAAAATGCATTATGTATTTTATGTCACTTGTTTTTGTCAGTATAAAAGCAGTATAGTAACATTTTATAATAAATGTCAATAATAATAAAGTGGATTATAGTATGACCAGCCCAGCTTTATTCCATTTAGATTTATTTCCTATTCTAACCTGTTCAGAAGACAAAAACCATGAAACTCATATTTTTACCCTTTAGAGAATAGTCCTAAGC